TTTTATGAGAATTTATGTCGTTCGTATGGAGGCAGGGGTGAGGGAAAAGTCATTCAGCTGCTAAACCTTGGCATCGGAGCTTATGCCATTCCCTCTCCTGCCCCGTACCGGGTGGCAAAGCCACCTCGTTCAGACCTGTGCAGGTTTCTTCAAAAGCCGTGAGTTAGTATGTGTTTGTTTGTTTGTTTTGGAGTCACGGAGAGGGCAGCGTAAAAAAGCCGCAAGGCAATTCCCGTTCAGTAAAATGGAAGTCTCACTGGCTCTTCATTCAATACAATGTGGCTCAAGAGGATATCCTGTCAACCCAATGATAACGAGGGAAATAAAGTCACTTCCTCACCAGCTGTTTGATTCAGGTAGAAAAAGGAAGCCTTTACTTCCTTGTGTTTGCTCTCCCCACCGCCCCCTCAGTCAGAAATGCCAGGCTGAAACTGCCTTCTCCCTCTGTATTTTCAGTAAGGAGCCGTCAGATCCATAATGCTTCGCTGGGCTCAGCCTATGGGAAGTACGTACTTCTCTGTGGCCGAGAAGCTATGCCTTGCCTCTCAAGCAGGGGTGAAGGCTGAGCTGCAAAAGGACCAAGACTGAACAAACTCAGCTCAGTGCGCAAGCAAAGAATGCCTGTGTAATTAAAGATGACATTTGTTTCTTGGATCAGAGCTGCCGAATTTGGGCCAGCGGAAGAGCGGGGTAGTGTGATCTGGATGCTTTGTTTCGAGACTGCCATGACTCAGTGCACTATTACCCTCCTAATCCTCCGAGGGTGACAAACTCCACTTTTGCCCTGGGCTCCCTGCAAATCCCAGGAACTTCGGCCAGGAACATGCTATGTCCTCCCTGCATATAGTTCAACAGGCAAGAGGGCAGTGAGGGGTGCCCTCAGGGCAATCTTCCTGGCCTGCCAATCAAGCCCAGGTAGGTGAGACAGGCATCTCGGGTGCTTTAGTGCTAAGAGGAGCTTAGGCAGAGCATCTTTCCCTTCCCCACTCCCACATTTCTTGCTTCACAGGAACAGTCAACGTAAAGTTGCATAGTAAACCAGCAATGGACTGATTTGACTTAATAAAAGCTTCTTAAGAAATTACTTTTTAAAAACTTACAGACCTGAATGAAGAGTTCTTTTCCATATAATTTTTAACTGCCCTGATATAATTTTACATCCAGGATATAACTTTCCATTAAATTTTGAATAGGTAGGTCTTAAAAGCAAGGCCTGCAACCATTTTCTTTCCAATTGTGTAAGACTTCCAGAAAGGTTGACCAAGCCAGAACTTGCCTCAGTCTATTTGCCAAGGGGACCCTTGCTTTCATTATAAAGAGTGCTTTTCAGAGGACATCAAGTGTTTCAAGCAATTTTCCTACTCTTATTTGTTTTAGCAGAGATTCTCTTATTTTAAACAGACCGGTTTAGGCGACAAAAATCCAGTGACAAATACATGCGTTTACAGAAGGAGACAAACCTTATGAAACAGTTGAGATTCTGTTTAGGGTTCTCTTTGTGCTAAAATAGTTTTCAGCAACGGGTCATATTTCCCTCCCCCCCTCTCCTTGTTTTAGTACATAAAATGGACATGTGTTTATTTAAAACAGGTTTGAAACTTAAACAAATAGTGACAGGCTGTTCAAACAAGCTTCGGAAATAGGCCTAATCAGGATGTTTGAGAAGGGGAGGGGGAACGATCATAAAGAGCTACTTGTAATATATAGTGCAGACACCATTAGGTTGGGTTCATGTTATTGTTGTAATAATCTCAGACGAAAAAGTACTGCATGCTGCACATTTTTTGTTAACATTCCTCGTTTGAGCCATAGGTTATGCCATACTTTCGCCCTGTCTTCAAGTTCTACTGTAACCCTCCGTCCATCTTCATACCCAATACCAGGAGCTCTACTGAATCATTAGAAATGGTGTCCCAGACAAACTGGGAGGAATGTTCCTAAACTGGGATAGAAGGGAGGCACAAAATACGCTCATTTTGATAGTGATACTGTGTATGCATCGGCTGTCATGAATATACAGAAGTGAGACCTTCCCCACAGAAAGAAACCATGGAAATCTTAACGTTAAAATGTTTTCACATGACTTGCATTTCTATGGGGTTTTTTTTTTTTCATTTCCTCTTTTAGGGTTCTCTTTGTGCTAAAATAGTTTTCAGCAACGGGTCATATTTCCCTCCCCCCCTCTCCTTGTTTTAGTACATAAAATGGACATGTGTTTATTTAAAACAGGTTTGAAACTTAAACAAATAGTGACAGGCTGTTCAAACAAGCTTCGGAAATAGGCCTAATCAGGATGTTTGAGAAGGGGAGGGGGAACGATCATAAAGAGCTACTTGTAATATATAGTGCAGACACCATTAGGTTGGGTTCATGTTATTGTTGTAATAATCTCAGACGAAAAAGTACTGCATGCTGCACATTTTTTGTTAACATTCCTCGTTTGAGCCATAGGTTATGCCATACTTTCGCCCTGTCTTCAAGTTCTACTGTAACCCTCCGTCCATCTTCATACCCAATACCAGGAGCTCTACTGAATCATTAGAAATGGTGTCCCAGACAAACTGGGAGGAATGTTCCTAAACTGGGATAGAAGGGAGGCACAAAATACGCTCATTTTGATAGTGATACTGTGTATGCATCGGCTGTCATGAATATACAGAAGTGAGACCTTCCCCACAGAAAGAAACCATGGAAATCTTAAACGTTAAAAGTTTTCACATGACTTGCATTTCTATGGGGTTTTTTTTTTTCATTTCCTCTCTTTTCCACCCATAATAATATCACCAAGTATTGAACTTTACCCTTGTATTTTTATAAGGCCTGATCTTGAACTCCCTATACAGACAAAGCTCCCATGGAAGTCAGTGAGTCTGCACTGGCGACAACAGGATTTAGCCCAGTCTGTAACATTTTAGGATATTGTGTTACTTCATAGCCTTAAGGAGAAATAAAAGCAGCTTTCCAAAGAGCTGCACAGCAAACTGAGTGTGCTTTTTCAGGTCTGCAACAGCACAGCAGAGTATTAAGGCCAGTTTGCAAATGTCTATTTCAAAAACCAGGCAGCTAAGCAGAAGTTGCCAAATTTTCTCCGGAATGAAGAGTTTGCATTAAAACATTCCCCCCAAAGGTTAAGCTGCTTTCACTTAAGAATATACCTTTGGAAACCCAGGTTTGAAAATGATTGCCTGGAGGAACAAGCATTGAGAAGTAGCAGGAGGCAGACGTATTTTCAGGTCAATCTGTTGGCCAAAGCCTATAGCTGTTCTGTTACCGACTCTTACCTACTGACACCCACTCTTACCTACAACATGCACCAATATTGCTTAATATAATAACATATTTTGGAAGTAAATACCTATTATTTATTTGAATCTCACTCGGTGTCTAGTGAACAGGAGTCAAAATGGCAAAATACTAAAAAACCTTACACGCCCTCTCGTGGTAAAACCACAAACACTCTTATTCTGACAATAACTAGAGATGGCTAATGATGGAGGCTAATTTAACTGCATAATTTATGGAAAATTAACTTGCCTGGAAGGTTTATATTAATAACGGAGACCTTTCTCTCCTTAATTCCTGCTGTAAACCATAACATATATGCATTTTTAGAAGGCAGGTTACCTCCTAACATAATAACATTACAGAACAGCTAAAGGCACTGTAACATAAATGGAGAATGTTAACTTCTACCAAAAATAGGAAGTCTAGAGTAATAAAGGCAGAGACGGAAACCCTGACATTAGATAACTATTTCATGGGTTTATCTCAGTAGTTTGGGAGCAGACCTTGACTGGCTGCACAATAAAAGAGTTGCCCTAAATGATGTTATCAGTTTTGTCACATTTTTGAAGTTATTCAGCTTTGCTATTTACTGCTTTCATGCCATACAGTATGATTTATCTATCTCTCAGGAATGCTCTGAAGCTTCATGTTTGTTAGGAATTGCAGCCTGAAAGAAAGGTGTTACGTGCAGAGTGTCACCAATCTGATGACTGGTCCAGTCAGATCCCACTGTATTTATGAGTCACAAAAACTTTATCTTTGCTACTTAAACAGCCTTTCCATTTGGTGCCTACACGCACCTCCAGACTTTCCTGGAGCAGCTTTACAAAACAGCTCTCCATACACAGAGGACTGCAGCTCGAAGGAGAAACCCAGGGTGGCTTGGGCTGGGCTGAGGAGAGGACTCCCCCTACACCTCACACCAGGTGACTTGTCGGCGGCCATGAGAAGTGGCATCACTGTATGCTTCCCCTCCTCTTCCTCTAGCTGAATGTCTTGGCTGTAGGCTGGAGGGCAAGTCAGACTGATAAGATGATCCCATGGCAAGATAGCTCTTTTTTAGGCAGGACTGTCAGATCAGCTGGTTGGCCCAATGGACCCTAAAACCAGACCGCTGCCACATCCAAGGCATGATTAGCAGGAGCAGAGGACCAAGGTGTCACCCCTTTTGGTGACAGTTGTAAAAGACGGTCAAAGGTGTAACACAACCCTAACAGCTTCAGTTCATATGGAAGAAACATCTGTGGCTACTACGCATAGTCTTCTGAACCCACTCCAAGGGAACCAAGTAAATACTGCCTTATCTTCAGCGAAGCCGACCAGCAATATAGATGCCCCATGTCCAGTGGAAATGAAAGGTTTGGAGAATGAAGGTCCATTTACCTCCCTTGTGTATGTTTGTATATACAACATTCAGGAGCCAAAATGGTGGTACTCGTATTTAAAAATGCTGCTCCTATACTTTGTTAGACTGGGCATGCCTAAAGCAGAATTCATGACTGTAGGTAATTACAGCAGTATTTGTAAAGAAACAGGCAGGAGAACTTTGTGCTAAGCACTGCACAAAAACGTAGCTCTCAAATCACTATTTTAATGGGTTTGCATGGGTTTTTTGTGCCGGCGTGGTTGCTGGACGACCATTGAGCATGAAGAAGTTGCCCTCCCTCTCTGAAGAAGTTACTGCAATTCTAATATTCCGTTATTTCCCTTTCTAGGATGCCTTCGTGGAGTTGTATGGCAACAGTATGAGGCCTTTGTTCGATTTCTCCTGGATCTCTCTGAAGACTATCCTGAGTCTGGTTCTGGTGGGAGCTTGCATCACTCTTGGCGCTTATCTCGGACATAAGTAGAGTCACCCAGTTTATCGTGGATTACAAAAGTCTTTTAAAACAACAAAATAATATTTTTTTTTTCTGTAGCACAATGATATTTTATGAGCAAAACAACTTCCCAGCTAAAGATTAAATCAGCTATTACTGCCAAAGGAAATATCATTTATTTTTACACTGCAGGAAAATTATTTATTAAAAGATATTTACATTTTAACCTGCTATTTTCAGAAACTCTGCAAGTTGTATCTGTCATCACATCACGTTGTTATTCTTAACTTCAATGAGGGTCAAAGTCTATTAGGTTCTTTTGTTAATTAATGCAGCTGGCTGGATTATTTTATCTCTGAAGAGCAAATACACTGTCAAAGACCTACCTGCTTACACTTACGAGGGCAGTTACTTGAGCTGCTAAAGCCTGCGCAGTTGTGTTGATTTTCCTTGCATTTTCCGGATGGCTGGGAGGGAACTGAAAGACAAGGTCAGCGTGAACAAAGTTCTCACCCTGTCCTGCTGGCAAGAACTGATGGAGTAAACGATTCAACATGGTACATACGTGGAGTCAAGATGGCAACTTCTTGAAGGACACCTGGCTATACCTACAGGAGAACAGATGGAAATATGATTGCCTATGCCTTGTAAACATGCGTTTTCAAGTTACCAGTTGTGCCATCACGTCATAATCACAATACCCTAATACATGTCAACTCGAATACTTTTTTTTAATAGAATTGTGAAGTTAAATCTTTGGGGCTTGCAGGAAATTGCTGTTCCAATGATTTTCTCAGCAGTAAAACGTTTTTTGCGGCTACTGACACAGAAACATCAGGAGACCTTAAGTGCCTGCTTCGACAGAGCAGAGCTGGAGTCTGAAGACCTGACCTGTGTCCCACTTTAGTGGGCTCATATCTGCAACTAATCCTGTTTACTTACTGAGTTTCTCCAGGGGTTTGAAACCAATTAGATGCGGTCTCTAAATCCCTGAAAGTTGAAAAAGATCTTAATTTTATTTGGCAAGAAGCAGACCTCAGCTGAGTTACAGATTAGCTCTGACTATCCTTGTTTATCAAACTGGACACCAAAATCAAGTTCATTTTCATAACAGGAAAAGAAAGTGAGCTTTATCCTCCTGTCCCTCGCCCTCAAAATTATTTAATGCTAATAATTTCCTAGGACTGTCTACAGAAGAAAAGATGATGAAGAAACTGCAAATCCTCTCTCTGGACAGAAACTCTTTGACACCTTGATCGCGCAGGTGCCTACTGTCGTTTCAAGCTAAAACAGGGTGGAGGAAAAGGGGGGGGGTGAAGTCATCTGCTCATGTTACAAAATGCAACTCAAGTAAAATTAATGCCGAGTACTCAGTATACAGTTTTATAAACAGACCTGTGTTCTGAAACCAGATGTGTCAGTGCATTTTAAAGCGGGGCTTTCTGTGCGCTCGGAGGGGGCCAGGAGTCCGGACGAAGCCTAAGAGTCTGAAGCGTGTCCCACAGGCTGCTCCGAGGCATGGAAATGTCCGGCTTCAAATGTTTGAGTCAAGCGCTCGTATTTTTTCTTTGAAACTTTTGAAATCTGGGATTTGTAGGTAAATGGACGTCCAGACATAAAAAGAAAAGCTGTTGCAAAAGTTCTGAATAAAATGCACCGTACAATACATAAGTGCTCTAAGGGTGAAAAGAATACAGTGAATAAACTGTAGATTCAACCTCAAGATTTCAGCTGAATAACTTTGTGGCATTATATGCAAATTTTCTCCATTAACTTGGGAATGTAATATGTTCAATGTTAAGGCTGTAGTTGATGTGTCTTCAAAGCTGCTTTTTTGTTTGTTTTTTTAAGAGTTGTACATCTCAGCATTTTTACTGCTATTTAGTCGTGGCACCTACACTTTGTATGAGCAAAGATGGAGAGAGCTTACATTTCAAATTTGAAATGACTCTTAATCTTATAGAAACATAGAAAGGAAATGTTTCTAAGAACACAAAAATGTGAACTGTGCTTGATTAAAGAAAAATGAAAAATCCCACCATCAAACGAAAAGCACCTGCAATGTTTTCAGAGTGCTTCTGTCAGAAGTGGGCATGCTCGTGTAGGGTTCGTATGAAAAATATTTGAAATGGGAGCAACCGACTATTGTGGATTGAGTGTGGGCTTTGTTTTTTTTCAGCTTCCAAGCTGAATTTGTCTGCAGCCAATTTCACAACTGGAATTGGCTGGTATCGAGCTAATGTTTCATTTCACAATCTAGTCTTCGTTTCAATTTGTGCCCATATGCCCATTAAAGTTCATGAACTATTAGTCCTCAAATTGTTTCCATATTGTTTATTTTATTAAAGGTTTACATTGTCAAAAGTAGTAAAAGAGTAATTATCAATTCCAGTGCTGCTATACTACCAGGATAATTTGAATGGGTTTTATTTTTTAATACCTTCCAATGGCAAAAGTTTTTTAAAGCTGCTTTAGAAATAATATGAAGAAGACACATGATACACATTTAAATAAATACTGAGGATTTTGTGTTCTGTTGTGTCTACTCACTGGACTTCCCAGTGTATTCGTTAATACCAGGCAAAAAGAAGAGTCATGATGACTGTTGATTTTATTTTATTAAAGAGCTAATGGAGTTTTCCCATCCTGACTGCAGAATAGTACAGTATTGTGGCTGCATTAGGTATAATGATAGTTGATAATACATTTATTAAGAAACATATTAGAAACATCGAATGTATATAAAAGCTTGAACTTCTTTAATAAAATCCTCTTCTGTCACTCCTGCATTTCTTTTGCAATAATTCCTGTCTCTCCTATTCTTCATCACGCTTTCACATAAGATTTTTTTTCCCACAAAATGCCTTCTAGACTTCCATGCTCCAAGACTATGCTTCAGTGAAAATCCATCCTCTGTCACTATGTATGCACACACAGGTGACCACTCCCAGCATATCCAAGTTGTAAAAGCAAAAAATAAAAAAAGAGGGACACTTTTGAAGTTGGTTAGGTGTGGAAGATCAGAGGACAACAAAGGAAGAGGTCAAGAAGTGGAGGGAAACGAAGAGATCACTGAAATTCTCCTTGATTAAAGATGACTGTTACCTGGAATTTGTTCATCTCTCATCCTTTCCCTTGAAAAATGATGATAAAGGGTGGAGTAAAAGATTACAGAGACCCCACAATTATTCTTCACTATAAAACTTTGTTAATTCTGAAGACGGTCTTTGGCAGAACAGGAAATCCGTAGGAATTTAAGAGAGATACTTGATTTTGCTATATTCAATTTATTTGTCATTAATTCTTTTTCACTCCATTTATTAAGAAAATAACGAAGGAAAATATTTTGCTTCTGAAAAAAAAATATCTGTAAGATCACCTAAGATCTGTTATAGATCAGTAACTTAGGAACAGATGGAAAAACAAGAAAAAAATTCTGCAAGTTAAGTATTCTGAAATCAGAGCTGACACAGAGGACATTTCTTAGTAGAACAAGCACTGGATCCACCAAAGGAGCAATGGGGCTGTCGAGATAACAGAGAATACACAGATAAGGAAGGGGGCTGGAAGATAGGGAGAATGACATTGGTATGTAAGAAAATCTCGAGTTTCATATGATGCAGGAGTTCACCCAAGATGGTCTGAAAATAACTTTTAACTAAAAGCAGCTACAAATGTGTGCACTACATGACTACAATTACTAAAAATTTTAAATTACAAAATTATTTGTAAATTATTATAAAATTATCCAATGACTATAAAAGTTCATCGATTTGCTGTTGTGATTGGGGATTACACAGCCTGAGTAGGGTTGCACTAATAAGGAGCAATTATGAAAAAAAAAATGTTTCTCTGAAGCTAGATATGCAAAGGAAACACGAAGGTGATGCAGTTCAAAGAACCCAGTACCCCCAATCCTTGCACGCACGCAGTCTCCCCAGCTGAGGCAGTGGGAGTCAGCTATAACTAAGGACTGCATGCTTTGACCCTGAAGCATGACACTGTGCTTGGCTGTGCACCTGCACTCCACTTCACAAACCTAGAAGTCCTATTGATTAAAAGTATAGCGAAGTAGCATGTTTAAAGCCTATCTTTTTTTCCCCTCTCTCTATCTTTAAACAAGCTAGCAAAATGATTCATTTGTATTATGAGTTTATGGCTCAGTACTATATGAAAAATTAAACATCTTTTGGTTTATGAGTATAAAAATTCTTTCTCATTGCAAAAGCCCAGCTTTGGTTTTCATTCCTCTCTCTCTTTCAAACAAGGCTAAATACAAGGAAGACAAAAGAGCTAATTTAATCTGTATTTGGTTTAAATCACACTCCTATACTAAGCTAATGCAGCTTCATCACACAATGAAATCTTTTTCAAAAAGTTATACAGCATTAAGAATTCCACACAAAAACTGTATATTTTTATAATTTAAAAGGCGTATTTTTTCTTTTTCTTCTGAATATTTGAATTTTAATTATCACCAGCATAAATGTACATAAGCAGATATCGTTTATCCAGTACCTTTGGATGATGTATGTATGGTAATGTAGTTTGTCAGTTTATCATCATTTAATATGATTATGTTGTTCTTTGTCTTTAGAATGTTAGAAGAACATGCTGCCATTAAACTTTCCATGTCTGTCTAGTTAATATTGTGAAAAAATAATAAAGCACACTGTGAGTTACTTGGTTTGCATTTGCATTGTTTAGGATTTGTTGATAAAAACCTACTCAAACATTTTGAGTGTAATCCCATAAATGAAACATAATGTTTCCTTCCTGATAGTTCTGTTGACATGTTCTGCTCAATATAGGCCAGTATTCGCCAGCCTTCCTCAAAGGCCTCTGTGCATCGAGATGCAATAACCCGGGTTTGATAAGCTGCTGCTGTGTGAAATACAGTCCACAGGTGTACCACACGCTTTGGGACCCAAGGACAGTGTCACCCATTCTGCTGTTCCATACATCTGATGTCTTGTGGAAAGTGCAGCAAGACTCTTCTATTTATTTGCTAAAATTACTTTTCGTCCTTGTAGAAAGGAGCTGGAAGCATATTAGCAAGTTATTAGCAAGAGAAAAAGAAGTATTTTTGTTACTGCTGAAGGTTTGTTACAGTTATAATTGGTTTCCAGCAGGTATTCAGGTATTTTGCTTCTTAAAGGCTCATATTAACTGGCCTTCAAATCACAGTTGTTGCCACATACCCTCTGCGGCTTTAGGTCATGTAAAACATAGCTAAATGAGCTCAGGTAATGAGTATTTAACTGCCCTAAGAATTTACCCAGCTTCTTGAGTGGGATTTGCAGCCCAGCACTGTGCTGTCATGGATGCACTTGTGAGTGCCTGAAGTTAGTAGTTTAATGCCTTTCAAGGACAATTCAGACATGTGCAAAACATCTACCCCTGTGTCCCTGAAGGCAGAGAAGGTGGAGGAACTCAGCCTGAAACCAAAAGAAGCAGCAACAGTAGCAGAACACGACTAATAGACTCTGTCCTCTGGGCTCTGGGATTAAACTGTCCGGCAGAGAGCAAGGTTACTAAATCCTTTGCAAGGCAGAAGGTAAGCAAATTTGCAATTCTGCAAGTACTGCCATTTCCCCCCCATTATTCTGTGAGACGGAAAAAAGAAGAAAAGGACCTGGAGGAAAGTAGCCTCAGCACTGTCTTTTTTCTAGCTAAAACCTAACAAAGGAAGATGGGATTAAGTTTCCCTAGGGAGGCAAACCGAGTTCAGCAAAACCAGGCAAATCAGTTCAGTGATTCTCCTCTTTCTGCCCGGTCAGATGTCTCCAGTTTTTCTAAAAAGCGAACAGATTAGCACCCATGATTATATGCCTACCTTACCACTGGGACCAAGCACAGCGAACAGACGGGGAGAACAGAAGAGGTCTGGATAAAGA